GAGCAGAGGGAAGCAGATTCCCCTCAATGAGGTTCGTGAGCAGCACGTCCACTGATGTTGTTTTGTTTGCATCCCATAGAATCTCATTAATATTAAAGTCCAGAGACAGACGACACTCGTCCAGACCATCAAAGATGAACAACACTTTATATTCATCACTGGATATTTCCATTTCTTTAGTTTCAGGGAAAAAGATATGAAGAAGATCTGAGAGACTGAGTGTTTTGTCCTTCATCAGATTGATTTCTCTGAATGGAAGTGGAAATATGAGCTGGACGTCCTGATTCTCTTTCCCTTCAGCCCAGTCCAGGATGAACTTCTGCACAGAGACTGTTTTTCCAATGCCAGCGACTCCCTTTGTCAGCACAGTTCTGATGGCTTTGTCTTGTCCAGGTAAAGGTTTAAAGATGTCATTGCATTTGATGGCGGTGTCCTCTGTTTCTGCTCTCCTGGATTGTGTCTCAATCTGTCTCACCTCATGCTCATTACTGATCTCTCCACTCTCACTCTCTGTGATGTAGAGCTCTGTGTAGATGTCATTCAGGAGTGTTGGGTTTCCCTGCGTCGCTGTTCCCTCATACAGACGCCCAAACTTCTTCATCAGATTGGATCTAAACGTGTGGAGGACTTCAAGGCTGGGAAATTAAAATACCACATTATTACATGAGCTACAGAGTTAAATGTACAGAGCAAAATTTATTTTTTGTTTTCTGTGTTGTGAGACACTGAACATATCATAGGGTTTATGAAATGTGCCAGTTATTAATGATGTATTTGAGTAATGTGTGATGCATTGCATTAAAAAATCCCACAGTTTACCTTACACCAGGATACGTGCTGTCTTGTGGTTGATTCATAGACTGGTCATATTTCTTACAGACAGGTTTTGTTACGGATCTGTGTTGCAGGATTGACCTTGAATCAAGAATCAAACACTCTGACATTGGTGACATTTTTCTCATTACCATAATAACAGTTGTGACTTTATTAAAGGGGTCATATGATGCAATTTCAAATTTTCCTTTCTCTTTGGAGTGTTACAAGCTCTTGGTGCATAAAGAAGATCTGTAAAGTTGCAAAGACTAAAGTCTCAAATTCAAAGAGTTATTCTTTATAAAAGTTAAGAGTCAACCACGCCTACCTAAAACGGCTCGTTCTAACATGCCCCCACATGTCTACGTCACGATGTGGGAAGATTTGCATAACGCCACCCAAATGTTCACGCAAAGGCGTATCTTTTATTCTCTCTGTAGCATTGTTGCTGCCGCCATGTCGTGAAGGCGCTGTGTGTTTCTTTGTGAAAGCGAAACTACTTTGTTTGGCCTTCCAAAAGAGGACGATATCCACTTCGTCAGCGGAGTCCAGCCTGGGGTCGTCACATGTGGTTGCCGCAAGCCTGCCCGCTGCGCCGTTCTCAAGCCCACCGGCCTCTGCTCATTCTAGCCCGCTGTGTGTGACGCTGTGTTTCGTTGTCAAAGTGAAACTACTTTGTTTGGTCTTCCAAAAGAGGACACGACTAGAAATCAGTGGTTAAGTTGTATTTACAATACTGTTCCAGAACACTTCAACCCAAATACTCCGATGTGTCCAGTGCATTTTATGGAGGACTGTTTCCTGGGAGAGTAGACTACAATGCCGGCTGTTCTGACTCACAGTACGTTTTTTTATATATTTATAGGATTTGCCATTAATGATTCAAATGCGAGTTTTGAGCAGTGTAGAGTAGCGAGCACACCTCGTTTTTCAGACCGATGAGCTTTGTAAAAATCGACGCGTTTCAGAAAGGCAGGGCATAGAGGAGAAACAATAATGCACAGTATGTGGAAAATAATGTGTTTTTTTAACCTTAAACCGCATAAACACATTTCATTACACCAAATATACAAAATAATCAACATCATATGACCCCTTTAAAAATGCACCTGCTCAAGGTCAGACCTGTAAAAAACAAATACAATTTAAATAAATGTAAATAAATAAATAATTCTACTTCTACTCTGTGCTCTATATCTGCTCGTTGTCATTAGATTTACTACATTTCCTAGCCACACTTCTGCTCATATTTATTTATTATAATACTGTATAATAATGACAGTTTATTTTAAAATATCTTACTATAATCATATCTTTTATAAAACAATGTAATACTTGAGGTTAAACCTTGTGTCATCACTCTTAGAATTAATTGGACGATCCAAAGAAGCGTCACTCCTCGTAGACACACAGCTGGGCTCTGGTTCTGATTTCTTCTGGTGAACTGAACTATAACAGAGAGTGTGTGAGCAAATATTAAAATATCAGATGAAATAATCACATGATACAACGCCATAAAAACACTTCAATTTTGTCTGTTAATTAAATATTGCACCTGAGATTTGGTGGATGACCTATAGACTCGTCACTCCTCATAGACACAAAGCTGGGCTCTGGTTCGGATTTCTTCTGACGAACTGAACTATAAAAGAGAGTGTGTGAGCAAATATTAAAATATCATATGAAATAATCACATGATAACATTCCATAAAATGCCATAAAAGTACACACTGTAACGGGGCTGACAAGACGTGAGACATGTGGATCCATCTGCAGGCTTTATTAAAGAGACGTGGTAAACAGGCAGGGTCAAAACACTGGCAAACAGGTATATGGCGGGCAAAACACAAGAATAGTAACAGGGCTAGCGTAGGTCACCAATCAGCAGACAGAATCACAGGGACGAGACGAGAGGGAGAAATCCAAGAAAATAGGCAAAGATCAAAAACCGAAAAAACAGGCAAGGCAAGGCAAAACAAGGAAAACATGGAGACTCGGAAAGGGGTACAGGCTAAACAATACTCAGCAGAGAAATGTGGTTAGAGTGGGTGTAATATAGTGAGTGAGGTGATTAGAAACACCTGTGTGCAATCAGAGCAATCAGGGCGGTGTGCAAATTGTGCAAAGAATGATGGGAAATGTAGTCCGGGGTGCTATGCAACAGTTTGTGTAGTGCGAGAGTCAATGTAATGGAAAGGGTGACATCTGGTGGTGAATAAACGGAAGTCCATGGACTGAATTCGTGACAGAATGCAATTTATAATAGGTTTTTGTTAATACCAATATTCGTTCGTTATCTTGGTTTTTTTCCCTCTAAGTTTGTTTTTGTCTGCGAAGAAAGGATGCAATTTGAATTTGACCAAGATGAGGTATCTTTGGAGACATAATGAAACATAATGAAGCCATTATGTTGGGAACATGCCTATGGTGACATAAAGTATTGCCTTTGTAGGCAGGTTACTAAGATTTGGAACAGAGCAATGATACTTTTTCATTTATATTATGGCAAAAGAGATCAGATATAGTCCAAATTAATATTAATTACATACAGACACAATCTGTTCACATTTTGTATGCATTTGTAGAATTTGGACCACTAATAAGAACCACAGACTCAGATGTGATGAAGTCAGAGATCTCCAAGATCAAAGCTGATGGAGGAGGGGATACCCCAGAAATGTGCCTGTCAGGACTTCAGGTACTGTGCTGTGTGGCCTTTCAGCCAATCATCTCAAACGTCATATGTGACCCTGGTCTTAAGTCGCTGGGGTATATTTGTAGCAATAGCCAAAAATACATTGTATGGGTGAAAAAAATAGATTTTTCTTTTATGCCAAAAATCATTAGGATATTTATTATACACCATCATTTTCGTTTCTATAACGTGTGAATATATCCCCTATCGTATTCTACAACAAAAAAAATCAGAGCACCTTGTTATCACTAGTTTTATTTTTATTTCCAGAGTCCGCTATTAGCTTATACCCCTTAGCATCGCCAGCGTGGTTGCCGCTAATCTCGCTTACATTGCTAATACTCTATTCACACACATTACCATTGTTTTACTCACTGTTACTTACTGTAATGGCAGATGTGTGTCTACCTTTGAGTGCAGGTGAGGACATGTTCGAGCTGCATTTGAAGCAGATCTGCGACCTGGTGGAGAGGCAGACCGAGCTGAGAGAGCGGAGAGCTGTGCTGGAAACATCTCGGGCTGACGCTCACAAGTCCGGGGGGAAAGTATACAGCACGCTGCTAACTCTCCCACCACCTCTACTCC